TTGAAAAAAGTGAGAAATTAGCTTTTAGAATAAGTATGGAAGAAATAAACGGAATGTTTTGAAGCTGTGCCGTTATACGGAAGGAGAGTAAAGGACGGAGGGGGAAGTGGAGGAAAAAAAGTAAAAAACCAGTGCAATGTTACAGGCTGGTAAACCCAAAAAGAGGTGCGGTGTCGTCAGCACGTTAATCTTGTCTGTGTATATGGTTATTTTGGGAAAGACGAGAGAGGTGGAGAAGTTGGGAAGAAATGAGATGTATGTTTATGATCAAATAGGTTTGAAATAGGAAAAAAATTTTAGCTATGAAATGATAATAGAGTGAAAAGAGATCTTTAAAGTGCATTTTTTTTTGTCTGTTCTGCGGAAGTGCAGAAGAAATTTCGCAATTACCTAATAAATTTATTTGTTTATAAGAAAGTTATTTGTTTGTTCGGGTTTTTTTGCTAAATTTTGTTACAGCTGTTTTATTAGGATTATTGGGAAGGTCTTTTTGATTCGGATATAAACAGTTATTCTTCTATTGTTTGGATTGTTTGTTTACTGTGCTTGGATATGTTATCCTGAAAAGTGCTGTAAAATTTTTTACAACAGAAGTCTTTGTGAACTTGCTTGGTTTTTTTTACAATTGTGTGTGATAATGTTTACAAAGCGTTGGTGTTCACAATTTGACTGACTGATAACAGAAGACTGTAGTAACGACGTTAAAAGCATTGCCACTTTGTTCACCTACAATTTTGTGTCAGCTGCCAACGATTTCAATGTTTCTCACGTAACAAGTGCTCTTCCAAGTACCAGTACTGTAAGCAAGGTTACTTTGTAAGTAATCATGCACGACAAAAACTGATAGCAATGCTTGTGAAGAAGGAGCATGGTTACAGGTTGAGGGCAGCTAACTGGTGGTGATGGCACTCCTAATGGCGTAATCAAAATTAACCAAAAAAGACGCAAAACCGGTCATTCTTTTTCGGCCCCAACTGGTGGTGTGAGTGGTAGGAAACTGAAAAATTAGCAGTTTTACCCATACTAATTATAATTTGGAAGAAAAAGAAATTTTTTAACACAAGATTACCAAAGTTTTTTATTTCGGGCTAAAAAATGGTTAGCGAAATTATAGCGATACACATATTAATCTGCGAAAATTTTTTAGCCACTTATAACAAACAGTTTACACTTTGTTTGGGATAATTTCTGTTTATTAGTTATTTATTTGATATCAAAACTTTATGCATTTTAATAATGGCGTTGCTGAGGTGTCCTGAAGTTGCTCTTTGTGGCTGCTAATAAAAGTCGGTAACCAGCAAGTGAAGTTAAAACTAAGCGCTGTTAATTTGAATAAGTCGTTCCAATTATGCAGAAATAAAACAAACAAATTTCTTTCAAATTTTTTTGTTTAAACTGTTATGATTTGGACACATTTTTTTGAAGTTTACTAGTCAAATTGTTAATTTTTTATCAATTATATAGTGATCTGCAAACATAAGAGTAGTAATTGGTCAAGTTAGTCGTTCATTTTTACTTCAGCTTTTAAAAATACTCAAGTTTGTCGTTAAGCTTTTGGTTGTGAAGCTCCCTCAAAAAATGTAAAGTTACAGCTTTATGCGTCTAAAGAAATTGCACTTTTTTGTCGATTAGTATACAACAAAAATTTTTACTCAGTTGAGAAAGGTTAATAAAAAGAGCCACTAAAAATCAAAGACAGAATGATGGTATTAAATACTTTTACAGCGACTTTACTTGTCAAGTTTATAACAGTAATTTACAGGTGGCAAAACGAACGTAGTTAATTTAGTATAGAACCCCCGAAGAGGTTCTCATATCAAAAAAAAAATGCTTACCTACAGAAACGTTGTTTATATTTTTGGGTATTCTGTTCTCTACAGTAAAGCTAAAAATGCTAGAGAACCAGCATTATAATTAAAACGGTCTTTAAGAACCATTCGTAATGACTATAAAGGGTTCTCCAAGACAGTGATAGAAAACAGTATATAGACATCATTTAGCAGTTTAAGACAGATGCAATTAGTGTTGGCCGTGTCTTCTTTTTTTCTTTTTTTTTTTTTTACAAATTTTTCTGCTTTTATTCTTTTGTTTATTTCAAACTGAACTTTAACACACAGCTAATGTCATCAAAAAACTTCAAAAATTGATTTCCAAAAACGTCTACCGCTCGCTTTCAGAGAATCTTCTTGATATTTAACAAAGACTTTGGAAATTTTTTTGTACCAGATGCCAGAAATGCTTTTTGTATTACATGAAAAGCTGCCGTCAAGCTTGAACTACAAGATCTCAGTCCAGAAACAGGAAAATCACTTCTCAATTCCTTGTATGTAGGATGTTAGTAAAATTTAAATTTTGTAGTTATAATCAACTAGTTATGCAGTAAAAAAAATTGCACAAGCAATTTTCATGTCTTGTAAAATTTTTCAATATTAAAAGATATCCTAAAATTGTCGACTCTTCTTCAATACCTACAAATAAGCTTATTTTTGTGCAGTCAACTATATTTCTGTTGTTTGCTAAAAATCTTATCATTTACAGTGTTGTACAGTTTCCTGTTGAGCGTAAACACATCTGTAATTGCAAACTGGACAGGTAGGACCTGGTGGTGTTACAGGGAGTAAACGTACGTACTGCACATCACTTCTTTATGCTATGCTTAAGACAACTGATAATACTTCTCAGCAAAGTATAAAATGCAAAGTCAAGAGAACAACATTAATCGTATGCCATTCTAAACTCCTCTAGTGTGTAATACTTTCTCTCGTAATTGTTATACACTTCAAAACCACATCACTTCGTTTGTCTGAATCTCCCTTAATTTGGATAGCTATACTTCACAACTACTACCACTTGTTCAGGCTGCTGATCTTCTAAGGCACTATGAAGGTTGTTACTTCTTTTTTAATTTTGTTTTTAAACTCAACTAATGGTGGAGTTGTTTATTAAACGCATAGCGAAATTTCATTTTGAGCAAAAAGTCTTATTTTTACTACCGTCTAAAATGTCTCTGCTTTTTTTTTTTTTTTTTTTTTTTTTTTTTTTTTTT